GGGAAAAAAAAGGGGAAAGGGGGGTTTTTGTTTGGGGGGAGGAGAAAAGGGTCAAACAAACCGGTTTTTTTTTTTTTTTTTTTTTTTTTTTTTTTTTCCCTCCCGCGTTTTCCAAAGCGGAAACTTGAGGAAAATCTTTGTTCCCCTACCATTTCGATCAAACAACAAAGCGGCCCCGCTCAGGAAGGAAAAAGCGGTGCTGGTCGGAGTATTTTATCCGGATGGAGTCGTTGCTGGAGATCCGCGGTTCGAAGAAATTTGAGGAGAGCCGAGGAATTCCTGCCAGTCCGTCCGTCTCCTCCTCCTCTCTCTCCGCTGCGGCCAATGGGAACACCCGGAGCCCTCCGAGGAGGGGAGCAGAGAAAACTGAGGAGAGGGAGGCAGCAGAGAAACTGTGGGCTCACTGGCGACTGCGTGGGTATTGTTCTCCGACTAATTTGGCCTGCGTTAAGATGCGCATTATTTCTATTTCAATACTTCGCTGCGGATTGTTGAAGAAAAGAGAGGAGGAATCAATATTAAATGGGTAGCAAGAAGCAGCTGATTGGAAAAATAAAACTATTTGGACGGATCAAAAGTTTGTTGAACCTCACAGAAATACGTCTCTGGTAGGGAGATGTTTATGATTTACAACCCATTTAACTTTAACGCAAACATGGTTCCAATTAAACCAGCCCACTAGATTTCCAACCTATTTAACTTTAATGCAAATATGGTTCCAATTAAGCCAACCCAATAGACATAAAAAAGCAAGGCAGACTCATAGTAGCGTAACACTGACAGGCTCAGATTTTGGTAGGGGCAAAATGGCGCATTGCCCAAGGGGGCCTGTGGGCAACAAGGAGCCTAAGGGGGAAACATATCAGTCATCTACACTCAACACATTTTCTGTGGCTTATATGTCAGTTCAGTGGGGAAAAGCATATTGTCCACATCATTGAATGACAATTATGCAGTTCATTGCAGCTGGCTAATGAAGCTGCAGATTTAAAAATAGATTCAGATTTTAGCTTAAATTCTGGTTTCTGTCACAAATGGGTTTTTTATGTACTTTGTGTTTTTAACCATTTCCTTGTTTATGTTCTACAGGTCTTGCCTTATTCTGTTAAGTTCTCTGTATTTGTTGTTCTAATGGTGTTTGCATATACTGTAGGATTCCTCTGTTTAGTTTGTTAGTTCATTTTTGTTCTCTGCTCCTTTTACATTTGATTTTCTTAGTTCATTGCCAGACCTTCTCTTAATCTGAAGACCAGCTGAGAGCCTTTTCTGTTATGGTGAGTGTTTTTAAGTTAATATTTATTGAAAAATGAAGAGAAAAGCAAAATACGGGAAGCCAGAGTCGAACAACAATAAACCATAACAAAAAGCCAGCCAGGAGACACGAGGAGAACGCAGTGAACCCTGGAAGAAGTAACGGAAGGAACCAGTGAGGAGTGACTGAGAAAGAGGTGCTTAATTAGGTAAATGATTGCAGGTGTGAGGGGAGAGAGATAAAGGCAGACTGGGGAGAGAGAGAGAAAGTGGCACAGGGGACCAGGGACTAAGAAATTAAACAGTAAAACGAACTAAACATAATTAAACTAACGTTAAAATAACGGGACAAAAGAAATAAGCAAACTAGAATCGCTAACAAAGCACTGAACTAAAGAACAAGACTTGTCTAACCAAAATAAGACACAAACACACAAAAGGATAATGAAACTAGAATCAAACTACAAAACAACCTAAGATACCAGGATCTCAATATTCTTCAACTTTTATTGTGGTAATTAATCTTCCTCCCTCAGTTTCCCTGCTGTCTTCCTCTCACAGTTGTTCCACATCTGGCATATCATCATTTTCCACACTTAGTTTCTCCATTCACCACTTCAACTACCTGCTCACCCCTGCATCACTTTTATCATTATTATCTCTATAAAGGCACTCAGACTTCAATTTAAATGCCTTAAAGTCCAAGTATGTGTTATTTTAAATAAATCTGAGCTTTTTAAAAATATAAATAGCTATACAAATGTATGAATGAGTGTGAAAATGTACGTAGTTCATTTAATTATTAAATATCCTTATTTTATTTGGCAATTTTAATGAACAAGTTACTGATTTTATTTGTGAGTGGAGTGGTTGTAGGTTTGAGTTTGGTTGTGTCGCAAGAGGAGGCAGAGAAAGACAAGCAACCGCTGAGGGAAACATTTTTGCGAGAATGGCTGCTGTAAGTTTTTCATAATTTGTTTGTACATTTCAGCGTGATTTTACATGATGGGCAGAGAAATGAGAGGAAACGGATTGCTTTCAACTTCTTCTTGTCACAAATGAAAATAGGAAAGTGTCCATATATATTTAGAGTCTGATATCTTTCAAATCTACTGCAACTTCGTCAAAGCGCTCACCTGTGTGTGATTTAATCTCAGAATAAATACAGCTACCAGAACCTCCCCCCCTCCACTTTTTCTTAGTCTTAATTTGAAAGCATGGAGCTGCTAAAAAAAAAAAAAAAAAAACTCCCATGACTCTAAGTGGAACCACATGATTTGGTCAGGTGAGGCAAAGTCTGACCTTTTCTACAACAAGCACACAGAAACTTATATGTAAAGCAATGAAAGTCTATATTACAGTTCAGGTTTTCTTATTTGTCACAGCTTTCTGATGCTGTTGGGAATGTTCAATAGAAAAAAAAAAAAACCTGTATCAAATGATACATTATACAGATTAAGAAGAAATATTATAATGCAAATCCTGAATGAATACCTCTCATCAACATAACAAAACCAGAACCAACGCTCATATTAAGATGGGAAAAACCAACAATAATCACTTTGAATAAAGTTTAACACATTGTCTACCTCAGTATCCAAAAGTTTGTCTTTCACATGGGCAGCTTGACTTTTTCAAAGATTTTTTTTTTATATAATTTTTTTTAAACTTTCTTGAATAGAAATGCCTTTAGTTTAGCTGAAGCTCACATTTACCCCCTTGAATTAAAATCAGTAGTGTCAGGTGACTCAGATTTCTGGTTTTAGTGTTTGCAGATCCGTCTTTCTTCTAAATATGTCTGTAGCATTAAATGTTTCAGTTTTAAACAGGCAGCCACATCGTTAATCTTTGAGGCAGCACTTGTCCTCTTCTGCCACCATATTTCAGTTAAATTTCTTTAAAACCATAAAAAATATTACTAAAATTACTTAAAAAAGAAAAAAAAAACCTCATAAACTAGAAGATTCATCCTCAGAGCTTCAAAGCCTGATTTCAGCGTTTCAGGGTTACACACCACCGCTGGTGATCATGCTCCAAAATGAGTAATTAGAGTAATTAGGAAGAACGTCCAAGGCAGAGAACGCAGCGGCACACTAAAGTTTGAATATAAAAAAGAAAATGAATTAGTTTTTGAACCGCAAGCCATCAATTACAGTATGACCTCATCCCCTCTCAGTTATTTTACACCCCAAGGCCTTTTCCATTTGTATGCACAATGTGTGTTCAGGGTGAATAATGATAAACCAATTCTCTTTTGTTATCTGACGTTAGTTTTGTGCTCTCGCGCTCATATTATTGTTGATGGTTATTCCATTTTTTCTCCATACTGTCTCCCTCAATCATTGGCCTTTTGTTTGCTTCTCTGCTTTGTCACCATACATGAAGCTGTGAGAAAAGGTTTAATTTCTAATTTTTATGCTTGCCTTCGGGAGTTCAGTTCAAGACTGAATTAAAGCAGCAAGGTAAGACAGATAAGCAAAATGTATCATCATGGTAAGAAATTCGATTATGGAGATTTTTTATTTTTTTATTTTTTGTCTTGAAGAAAATGCTTTTTCACTGTGTATCTAGGCGCAGAACCTGAATCTAATTCTGAAATGGAGAGTACCACTGCAATGCCAAATCTAATATAAAACAACAGATAAACGTCATGATCCGTGAATGTTTGGGCTTCATTTAGGGTTGCTCTTTTTCATGTTTTATATTATAAAGTCAGCTGTAATTTTCACATCTCTAATTTAAAAGCTAAAAGTAATGACAGCCGTCTAATGTCTTTCTTGAAATTCTGATAAAAGTTACATTTCCATACATTCTATTATTGAGTTAAATTAAAGCAGAGTTGCAGGAAACAGAAAATACGACCCCCAACATATTTTATGCCTTTTTATAGTTTCACAGGGTTAGAAATGTCACCATGCTCTGTCTCCGATATCTGACTTTTTATTTTTGAGCTTCCTGCCTTTGTGAGGCAAATGTTTACTCAGAACCTGCAGCCATCAAGCATTTTTGCCTTCCAGTAAACCGCTTCACCTATCATTGTTACATTTAGATAATTTTAGAATTTGCTAAAGTCTAAATCATTTAGATTTAGTCTAAATCGTAGAACTGAAAGTTTTTTACTTTATCAGTTCATACCTACAGCTATAAATTTCCTCGTCTTTCCTTGTTCAGGACAGATAATAGCTTGGTTTCCCAATCTAAAATCCGCCCTCATTGTCTAAATTGAGATCACGCTGACTGCTGTCCACTGATAGGACACTCACAATGGTCTTTGGGAAATGTATTTTAGGATTCGGAGTTTGTGCTTAGTTCTGCTTTCTTGGTTTACTTTCCGTAATGTCTTAATTTTTAAATTGACCCTTGTTTCTTTGTTGACGTTACTTCCTGTTTCATTGTCACCTCACCGCTTTTCAGTTTCTAATCAGCTTAATTTAATGTTTGCACTGTGATGTTTATCTTCTTTGGTTTGTACAGTTTCTGTTTTTTCATTGCGTCTGGGCTTCACAACCTTGCTCTGTTACCTCAGGCTGTCAAAGTTTACACATCTTTCTGGTTGTGTTTATGTCAGCTTGTATTCTCATAACAAAACTCAAAGTGCCCAGGCACATCAGATACATTGCCATGCAAAGGTATTGATACAACTTGAGTTTCCTACATTTTGTCAAACTTTAATGTTCTTTATTGGGATTTTATATGATTGTCCAAATCAAAGAAAGCATGTTTGTGCATGAATATTAAATACACTTGCACATTTCTTAGAATATGCATCAGTTATTTATTTTAGACAAAGTTTTTCCGTGGTATATTTGATTTTTACGAGACAATTGCTATTTACTTGTTCTATGGTGTATTTTTACGTCTGTCTTTGCTTTCATTTCCCTGTCGCTGAGCTGCTGATACAATTGAATTTACCTACAGAGACACAATAAAGGATTCCATTTCTCATCAAAACATTTTCATATTCATTTTCAAACAGTCGTTCATTTATCTAGTATTAGTTGTAGAGCATTTATAAAGCATTATATCCAGTTTTTTCTGCTGTTTTTCTTTGGAAGACCCCCTGCCTTTGTTCTCCTAAATCTATAAAATGTGAATAGATTAATTTAAAATGTAAGGCAGAATTCATTAAAAAAAGATGATAGCAAACACAACTATGATAAAACAGAAATTACACTTTTATTTAAATCTATGGTTTTTGCACCAGGACATAATAATTACTCCATTAAAGTCAACGTTTGTGTAGTTTAATGATTTTGCAGCAACCAGTTAAAGGAAACCACACAATGGCCTTGGTTCTATGGTGAAGCTTAAACAGAGCTGTGCAAAATGAATGCCTGCAAACCTCAATGAATTTCAGCAATTTAAGCAATATTGAAAATAACTTAAAGCCAAAAGTCCTCAAAACAAGAGATTAAGAGTCTTAGTGGATAGTAGTGGAAAGCACTACTAAGTTATTACTGTTAAAATTTTTGATCAAACTTGCTTGATCATAACTTGACATAGTTTCTCACTCGCAGATTTTGCATATTGACTTCATTTTTTCA